ACTTGTATAAATGAAAAAAAGTTTCACATTTGAACAATGAATATTGTTCTGCAGAACAAATTACCCATGCTGGATGATGGTTATATTACATATTTAGTTGCAGCCGGGGGTGGAATTGTAGAGAAGAGCATTATGTAATTCACTATATAATTAGACTATAATTGTTCACCTATTATATAATAAGAAGCTGAACCTGTGCAGGGAATAATGGTGCAGGGAATAAATTGTCACTGGAGTGCACATGGATTTTCTGAGTGTGCCTGATAAGGCAATGAGCCTCAAAGGTCATCGAGGGTCAAAGGGATAAAGGAGGAAGAAAGCCAAAGATGAGATACTGTGGGAAAACCCCTGGGCTTGGAGGAAGTCAGCCTCTGCTGATTACTTCTCGTGTGATGCTGGACAAATCATTTCATCTCTTCTAAAGGTCAATTTTTTCATCTGTAAAATGATGTCAGACTGGATGACTTCTAAGGTCCCTCCTAGCTCTAATGCTGTGGTCCTAAGAACTACTCTGCCTGTCACCTAATATGCTTTATGGTGCCCTTGTGGTCCAGGGGTACCCAGACTACATGCATTTGAGAAGGGGCTTGACATCGTTTGCACGTCTGGACAGAACCCTGAATTTGTCTTCCATTTAGCACCACCGTGGTAAAGGTGTCACAATTCACTAAGCAAAGCAGAGCTGCCAGGCTGCTCCACAAGAGACATAATACAGTCCCCTCAGAATGGAGGGAGCGCTTCATCCCTCTCGTAGGTGCCCCACAGACCAACTCCTTCTGGGCTATTGTTTTAATCTTAGTGCAGGCGGTTAGGAGTAAGAGTCTCCTTTCACAGAAAGGTTCTTTGCTGCTGAGGGTATGGACAAGGCTTCCGGTTCATCAAGGAACAACACTGGGGAAGGCCTGCATTAAAAATCTGAGTCCAGTCACTACGACTCTCACAACTGACTCCTGCCTCACGCAACATCAGTCTCCTGTCAAGTCAAATCAGAGAGCATTTATTAAGTGCCAGGTACCCTGCTAAACACAGGGGATGTAACAAAAGGCTACAACAAACAAAACAAGATCATAGTCTAATGGGGGAGATGACAGGCACACAACTCTATACACACACATTACGTAGGTCTTAACTCTTCATTAAGGTTTGAGTATTTATAGACTACAGGGAATAGGGAGGGAATTTGACAGTCACGCTGCTCTTCCTCTCTGTGTTGTCTTTCACCTGAACCATAATCTGATGCAGACTTAGTAATCCTCAAGGCTTCTCCCTGGTGAGTCATTTTGAACGACTGTGCTTGACTTCAATGTTGCCCAATGGAATGAATACCTTTGAAAGAAAGGACTTCTTGACACAGTAAAAATACCGAGGCAACACCAAGGTGACTGCCCTGAATTACATGATGGGAGGCTATCTGACCATTACTATCACCTAGCTCATTAAATATTTCATCAAAAAATAACCACTTAAAATTAAATGAACAAACTTTTGAAACAATAGGGAACCATATTGTGTATCTATAAGGCAATTCATGGGCAAGAAATTAATCAAAAGTTAACAAGAATTCCTATTTTTTTTTTCAGATACTAGGTATGTATCTGACAGGGACATTTAACCTTTGTTGGCCTCAGTTTCCTCAGTTTTAAATGAATATAATAATAGCACCTACTTCCCAGGGCTGTTGTGAGGATCAAACGAAATAATTTTTAAAGCACTTACCACAGTGCTTGACGCATTCAGTGGTTGTCATTCTTTTTCAGTTGCGTTCCATTCTTCATGACCCCATTTGGGGTTGTCTTACCAGAGACCGGAGGGGTTTGTCATTTCCTTTGCCAGCTCATCTGACAGATGAGGAAACTGAGGCCAACAGGTTAAGTGACTTGTCCATGGTCACACAGCTATTAAGTGTCTGAGGCAGAATTTGAACTCAGGAAGATGAGTCTTCCTGACTCCATGCCTGACAATTCTATCCACTGCACCATCTAGCTGCCCTCTGACACACTGTAGGTGCTTAATAAATGCTTCCTTCCTTCCTTGCTAGTAATTGTGAAACCATCTAAAATGCAGTACTAATACACTTACATGACCTGCCTCAATGGACTACTTTGGATCAAGGAGTTTGAAAACTGTAAAGTATGGTTTAAATGCTATTATTATTGTATAATAAATATGAATTAGAAAAGGTAGAGGTCACAAGAAATGCAAACAATAATTTATATACTAGCATGATTAAGCATAAGTTTTTGAAGGAAAGGCAATGTGGTTTGTGTAGAGGAAAATCACGCTTCATCCATCTTTGAAATTGCTTAAAGAGCTTATAGACAAGGGGAACCAACAGACTTAGACTTTCTAGTAAGTCAGTGAATTAACAAGCATTTATTAAGTGTCCAAGACTTCATGCTAAGTACTAAGGATAGTAAGACAAAAAAAGCTCCCCTTCTCCTCAAAAACAAAAACAAAAACACACAAGGCTGTTGGAAAACAAATATCGAAGGATGTATTACTAGACTCAAATTCTGGCTCTGCACGGCCAAGTCAGTAAGGCCGGACCCTTGTTAATTCATCTATAAAACAAGAGGGTTGGGCTAGATGACCTTTAAGGTCCCTTTGCTCTAAATCCTATGATCTTAAGGGCAGAGTTGTATTAAAAGATGACTGTGTGATCAGTTGCTTAAACAGTATAGAAAATATATAGTGAAATTTCTAAGAATGGGGAGGAGGCTTGGCTCTTCCAGGTAATGAAATACAACCACAGCAAATTAGCTTCTGCAATCCTTCATGCAGTTTAGGTTCTCAATGAGGTAAGACAAAACTGGGAAAAGTTCAAAAGAAAGGCAATTGCAATAATACAGGTGGAGCCAGAAAGATTAAATTTCTAGACTTAAAGGACAAAGGTTCTGAGAAGACGTGATCCTAGCCTGTAAAAAATCACTAAAGGAGTTGGAAAGGTGACATATACTTATTCATGGGGCACACCCTGAAGCTTGAAGTTTGGCCAGACATAAAAGGAATTAAAAAAAAAAAACAATGGCCAGCAAACTTAATGGAACATATTACTCTGAAAGGTAGTTCACTTTCACAGAAGCAGAGAGGGAAAGGATCTTGGAAGTCACCTGATTCAACCTCTCTCCAGTTAAGGAGACTGAGGCCCAGAGAGAATGTTACTTGTCCATGGTTACACAGTTATTAAGAGGCAGAACCCAAACTATAAAGTACATCTTCTCATTCCACATGCAGCTGTCTTTACATTTTATTACCATGTTGTCTTCTGTCAAAATAAAAAGATTTTCAAGAAGAATAAATTCAAGATAAATTCAGTTAACAGAATCAGAGCTGATTCCAAAGGCGTTCCTGAGGCCAAAGATGTAGCCCCAACCTCAAGTCTGAGTTAATGGAAGTTAACAACCGTGTACTTCCGTAGACTATCCTATGGCAGATGTGTGACTTAGAGAACAAAAAACAACACACAGACACACGCATACACATTTTTCAGGATGATGATTAGAGCAAACATTTACTATTAGTCATTTTAGATGTGTGCTGAGTAACGTGGGGCTGCTAGGTGGTGCAGCACATAGAGTACTGGGTCTGGAGTCAGGAAGGCATCTTTCTGAGTTCAAAACTGGTCTCAGACACTTACTAGCTGTGTGACCCTGGGTAAGTCACTTAACCCTGTTTGTCTCAGTTTCCTGATCTGTAAAATAAGCTGGAGAAGGAAATGGCAAAACATCACAGTATCTTTGCCAAGAAAACTCCAAATGGGATCACAAAAGAATTGGACACGACTGAAAAATGACCCAACAACAAAATGAGTAATGGATTTGTGTTTTAACTTAGCAGCACATATGTACTCCCTTCCATCTTAGTAATGAAATGCCATATTACTGATGGTTAAGTTCTTGATGCCAAACTATGGTCGAAGGCCTATTATGCAGGTGGTATGGAAGACAGAGACCTGGGAGATACAGTCAAGAGGGACCTACGTTCAAATCACAATTCCTCTCAGCCTCAGTTTCCTCATATACGAAAGGGGATAACAATAACACCTACTTCACAGAATTCTTGTGAGGATCAAATATGTGTCAAGTGCTTTTAGAACCTTAAAGTGTCATATAAACATTAATTATTATTATTGTCCAGAGTAGTTGGGTCTGGTAAAGATTAGGACATCATAATTGGATATAATTTGCTACTTCAGAATGACTATACCAAGAGGTTTTGGTATCAGAAACCAAAATTCTAACTAGTTTAGGAGGCTGGATAACATGCTTCATCCTTTCTCAGTTCCAAAGAGCTTTATAACCTGCTACTTAAAATATCTGGTTCAAATTGTAACAATTCAAATTCACTTCCCCACAATAACTCATAGCAAGTATTTTTGACCCCATTTTATAGATCAGAAACTGAACAGAGGGTAAGTGATTTGCCCAAGGTCAAAATAGTGTCTGAGGTCTAATTTGAATTCAAGTCTTTCTCATCTTCAATACTCTTTCTGCTCAGCATAAAAGGGCTCTCATGGCAACTTTATTTTGGCCAGAATGATAAATATCCATCCTTGTATGCTAACATCATATATGTCCAAAACAAGAACTCACAAATAGAAATAAAACGTAATCCTCTGGAGCTACTTATTCTTCAGCCAGAGTCTGACAACTGAATACTGAGCAATACTTTCCTCATACATTATTTTAAGAATGTGCTTAAAATAGCAGTCTGTGTTGAGAAAGGCAGAGGAGCTAAAAACTTGTCCCATCCTCTCCAAGGGCTCCCACTCTGGCTACATCATAAAGGATGGGCGATCTGGGCTCTGGAAGCCCAGCTGAGAGGACATGGGTTCAATACATTAGAGTTACTTTCTGGTCTGGTGCTCCTGTTTGACTTTCTGCATTATTCTTGGTGCTCAGCCATTCACATCCAACCCAACGACTTCAACTGGTGATGACTGACAAACTGATTTAGAATATTGCTAAGTCGGAACTTAATTTTGCCATGTTTCCACGTACCGTAATTTGAATTGTGATCGAACTTCCCCATGTTCTATTTGAATCAGTTCATTGTAACAAGCAGTGATACTGCTATTCTCCATAAATCTCTGAAAAAGAAAAAGAATAAAAGACAGCCTGTGAGACATGTACAATCATTTGTTAGAGAGGAAAACTCTAAATATAATAAATAGTTCCCTCCCCCTCCAACCTCACTTTGATCTTTATTACCTTATTGCAAATAAGTAGCTTGAAATGAAATGAAATGACGTGGAGGCGGAGCTAAGATGGAAGCATAAAGGCAAAGACTTGCCTGAGGTCTCCTCCAAACCCTTCCAAATACCTTTAAAAATGACTCTAACCACATTTCTAGAGCAGCAGAATCCACAAAAAGATGGAGTGAAACAAATTTCCAGCCCAAGACAACTTGGGAGGTTGGTAGGAAAGGTCTGTTGCATCATGGTGAGAGAGAGAGGAGCACAGTGCAGTGCAGGCTGCGCCAGCATAGTCTGGGCCCCAGCAAACCAGAAGTAGGCCTTGGGAGCCACTGAATCTGCAGCAGCAATGGCAGCAGCAGTGGCTACTTCCAGAGCTCTCAGCCAGCAGACCAAAAGGGGATTGAACAACTGGTCAGAAGGAGATTACAGGGGTCTCTTTGCTAGCATTGAGGCAGGACTATGTTGCTTTGCTCATACTTGGATCTGGGTCACAGTCGTGGGTGGTAGTCCTGGGGTGAAGTGGAACACTAGCATAGCAGAGCTTGTGGCCACAGTGAAGGGGGGGCCCTCCTCACAGTTCCACGGTAGAAGAGAGTGCTTGTGGTCACACCCAGACCAGAGAACAGGTCAGGAGGGTAGAAAACGCCTCTTCTTATACCATACCACCTTGGAAGAACTTACATTTTACAGGTCTCTAGAAGTATTTCTGAAAACAGCTGCACAAAACCCCTGAAGCTTGGGACAGTGTGCCCTCCACCCTGGAAGTAGAGTCCTACCTTAACAAAGAGTTAAAAGGTCAAGTAACAGGCTGGGAAAAGGAACAAGCAATGGAAAAAACTCTTGACTATATAAAGTTACTATGGTGACAAGAAAGATCAAAACATACACCCAGAAGAAGACAACAAAGTCAAAGTTCCTACATCCAAAGCCTCCAAGAAAAATATGAATTGGTCTCAGGCCATGGAAGAGTTCAAAAAGGATTCTGAAAAATCAAGTAAGAGAAGCAGAGGAAAAATTGGGAAGAGAAATGAGAGTGATAGAAGAAAATTATGAAAAACAAGTCAATAGCTTGGTAAAGGAGACACAAAAAAATACTGAAGAAAATAACACTTTAAAAAACAGAGTAGGCCAAATGGTCCAAAAAGCCAATGAGGAGGAGAATGCCTTAAAAAGCAGAACTGGCCAAAAAAAAAAAAAAAGGTCCAAAAGCTCACTGAAGAAAATAATTCCTTAAAAATTAGAATGGAGCAAATGGAAGCTAATGATTTTATGAGAAATCAAGTGACAATAAAACAAAACCAAAGGAATGAAAAAATAGAAGACAATATGAAATGCTTCAATGGAAAAACAACTGACCTGGAAAATAAATTCAGGAGAGATAATCTGATTAAATGATTAAGGAATTCTTCTGTTCATTTACTGGAAATGTACTGAATACCTACTATGCATGATAGGTACCGAAGGAGGTGTGTAGATAAATTTAAGATACAGTCCCTTAACTCAAGGAGTTTATAATGTACTGAGGGCAGGGAGCAGACAGATAAAGCATATACAGAGATTAAATGTAATATAAATTATAATAACAAACCCTCAAAAAGTCACTCATATATGCAAGTACTCCAACAACTCAAGGCAGACATATCTTTTCTCAATAAAATACAAGGTAATTTCCTCCATAGTTGGAAGGCACCATTATTGTCCTACACACAACTGATCTGTGTATCTGATGACAATTTCAATAAACGTTTATAAAGTATATAATCTATAGGGGATTACAAAGATGACTAACCCAATGGTATGTACCTCCAAGGAGTTTAGAGTACAGTAAGAGAGGTAAGGTATGAACAAAAATAAGTCTAACTACACAACTGAATGTGGAAAAGTGTATGTATAAGCAATTTAAAGAGAATATATAAAAGTGGAGTGTTCAGTTTAAATTTCATACACGTAAAGGAGAGTAACGTGAGTAAGGCCAAACTTGTGGTTTGGAATCAGATTGGGAAAAGCACTTAATGTCAAGCTAAGGAATTTGGATTATCCAGCACTTAGCACAGTGCCTGGCACATTGGTATTGTTGTTATTCAGTCATTTTTCAATTGTGTCCAACTCTGTGATCCCATTCGGGGTTTTCTTGCCAAAGATATTTCAGTGGCTTGCCATTTCCCTCTCTTGGATCATTTTTACAGATGAGAAAACTGAGGCAAACAGGGTTAAGTGACTTGCCCAGGATCACACAACTAATAAGTCTTTGAGGCCAGATTTGAACTCATGAGGATGAGTCTTTCTGATTCCAAGCCCAGTGCTCCATCCACTGCACCACCTAGCTGCCCTGGCATATGGTAGGCATTTAATAAATACTTATTGCTGTGAAGAACCTTGAACCTCAGCCTAGGGAATTTGGCTATGAGCACCCTTTCTTATTCACAGAGCATTGATTTATTTATCATTAAACACATAGGAATGGTAGTATTGAACATAGCAAACTGTGAACATAGTGCCATAAACATAGTAAAATAATGCAGAAATAATACTGATTAAAAGATAAATTTCAGGACAACTTTGGAAATCATTTTTGCCAAAGATATGAAAACAAAACCTTGTGTTACTTTTTGATTTGAGATAAGATAATACTTGTTGTCTACAATTCTCTAAGTCTGTGTAACTGCAGCAAAACAACTGGCATAGAGGAGTCTCTAGAGCCAGAATCTCGTTTTATGAAACTTTACAGATCACAGAGCATGAGCTGGAGTGGATCGCAGAGGCCCACTAGTCTAATGCCTTCAATTTACAGATGAGGAAACTGAGGCTCAGAGAGGATAAGTGACTCGCTGAAACATGCTTCGGATGTCAAATTTGAACCCAGGTTCTTTGACTCAAGAAACAATGTTCTTTTCACCACAGCAGGCTGCCTCTCTTGTGGATTTTCTGTATTATCACCCATCCAAATCTATACCATTCAGATAGCTCGATGGACAGACACAGAGAACACCAGACCCATGAGGTTTGTTTCCCAGAATTACATTAAATAAATTCATCATAAGAAAACTCACAGGATCATACATATGTACGTATATGTGTATATATGTATATAGATGTGTGTATATGTCGACATATGTGTACACACATACACCTATGTGTGTATATATATCCACATATACACACATACATACACACACACACACACACACACACACACACACACACACACACCCCCAAATGAATACTTCCTTTTACTTTCACATTATCCTGATTTTGTATATCTATTATGGCCCACCACTCTTGGTGAAGAATCAGGGAGAATGCGGGTAGGGTGAGAAGACGACAATAATGAACTTGGTTCAGCTGATATTACAAATCAGGAGCTAAAATAAACATATGATCATCTAATACGACTCTCACCAAATAAGGACATAGTTCTCTACTCTACCACCTGAACCTTTTGGGGGTAGGGAGAGGGAGGGAGTGTATCAATAAGATTTACAACTAAATAAAAAGAGGGATGCAAAGTTTCAGATGGAAAGAGCAGGTTCATTCATGGCTCCAAGGGGTGAATGAGTACAAAGTTCTCTGAGTATCTCTCCTGCAGTAAAGCCCCTTAAGGATAGCACCAAGGACTTCAATGAGAGCTATGCTGGAACACTTGAAGGCACAGCTTGTCCCTGGATCCCAAATCAATGACCATAGACTTTGGTCTCACTGGGCTGAATAGCCAGCAACACAGGGCTGGGTTTCAGCAAATAATTCAATACAATCAAAACAACTCCAAGATGTGAAACACTCTCACGGCAACTGGGGAAAACAAGAATAACAGGCATAGTTGGAAAGATGTAGGGATGAAATGTTGCCAGCTAAATCATTTTTGCCCAAAAAAGGAAAGCAGTCCTCCATGTTTGGGGGTCAACAATGGAGGGTCCTACTAATTTCACAGTAACTTCATGAGTAGAGTAAAATAAGCCCCACAAGTATGTTAACTCTGTAAAGGCAAATGAATGAATTTAATAAGTGGTACTTTTTTCTGTTTTGGAGATGGAATCTCCCAGCCTTGTCCAGGATCTTGCCCACCCATCGATGGGCTTGATCCCAAAGCTGATCAGTATGGAAGTCTCAACTGGCTTCATTTTTGTCACCTGAGTTGGCTTATCATTCAGTAGGCAGCCTAGTGGCCCTCTCCTCCCAAGGAATCACCATATTACAGCTGGTCTTAGCAAAGATACCTGATTGGCTTTAGCCATAATACATCTCAAAATTCCCAAACTCAACAGTCCACCAGCCTTAGTATTACCCAGTAGTAATGATAAGAGGCATGAGTCACTATCCCTGGCCTATGGAAGATTTCCAACCTGGCACTAAATGATACCAAGTGGGCTTGGGAGGTTAATGTTCTTCAGATGGATGCTCATTTTGCCATATATGGTTGAAACATTAAATATTTCAATGGGGTTTAAATATATCAAAAAAATGTTAGAAGGAAACAAAGTGACGTACTTCTTCTTTGTAGGGTGAACAGATTTGTGATTCAATCAAAATAAGGAACTTCCATTGAGGAAGCCCCTTCTCCCACAGATCAGCCACTTCTTTGAAACTTATAGCCTGAAAAAATTACCAGTAATTACCAATTACTGAAAGAATTAAGGTATTAGCACGAGGAAACACAGCCAGTATCAGAGGTGGGACCTGAACCCAGGTCTTTCTTACACCAATCAATACCAGCTCCCTACCCCAACATTCCTCTGCCTCCCAGTAGGGTTGTTCTCCAAATTTCATTTTTTATAACCTTTACTCCCAAAGAAGTTCAAACCATGAGGTTTGATCTGTCTTCTTTTCCTTTTTTAAATAGATCTGGAAATTTCAGTCATCTAGGGAAGGAAAGATATGCTTCAATCTATTCTGCTTGCTGTGCTAATTAGAGGCAGATTCACTGAATGAGGGCCAGGCCTTGAAAATGACGATGACCAAGAATGGTCATCACAAGAAACAGAGGCCAACATAAGTAACATAAAAACACTCCCAGAGCCTAGCTGACTCTAAGGAACACAACCTACAGCATTATTATCTTATTCTCCACTCAATGTGCAGGATAAGAAGGAAATCTTGTGTTGCTCAGCACTGAGAGAAGCTTGACAGATACCATAAAAGATAATTGTGGGTTGGGGGAAAGATGGGGAAAAGGAATCAGAGCAATTGTTTTCTGAAGACGAGAAAAGGAATTATGAAAGGTGATGATGGCCTGTCATTTCTCCAAAAGTAGGTTAAAGAAAATGAGTCCTAGTTCCACTTACTCTTTCTTTAACAAGCCTCCTTTTAAAGGATTTTCTGTTGCATAAGCCCAAAACACGTCCTTGTAATCTCACTAAGGTACAATATACAAGTGTACCAGAAGTGAATGCCCTCCTTTAAGGGAATGGACAACAGACAAAAGGAAAGTGTTCAGAGAGGAAAGGATAGAGCTAATTAGCAGTACCCTACTCAATTCCACAATGTGGAACATATTATCTTGAGTATTTTATTTAGCATTGTTCTTTTCATCCCTAAAGCATTCCCCAGGCACAGAAATAACCTCACCCAAAATGTAGCTTCTCCTTCTCCATGATATAAAGCCAGGAAAATATTCTTAACACTCTTCCACCTCTCCACTTTCCCAAATCCCCTATCCCAGCAAACCAGACTTAGCCTGAAGCAGCAGGCCATCTAAAGTCTAGAGGGGGATGTTCACAGGACTCCATTTTGAAAGCCTCATGTATTATCACGGAGCTTGCCATCTACTGAAGACTTGGTTCTGCTTACTTCACAGCATCAGTTCATACAAATCTTTCCAGGTTTTTCTGAAGTCTACTTCCTCATCATTTCTTATAGCACAATAGTATTCCATTACATTCATATATCACAGCTTGTCCAGCCATTCCCCAATTGATGGGCATTCTCTGATTTTCCAATTCTTTGCCACCACAAAAAGAGCTGCTATAAATATTTTTGTATACGTGAGTCCTTTTCTCACTTTTATGATCTCTTTGGGATATAGCCCTAGAAGTGCTATTGCTGGGTCAAAGGGTATGCACATTTTTATAGCCCTTTGGTCATAGTTCCAAATTGCTCTCCAGAATGGTTCTATCAGTTTACAACTCTACCAAAAATGCATTATTATTCCAATTTTTCCACATCTTCTCCAGCATTTATAATTTTCCTGTTTTGTCATGTTAGCCAATCTGATAGATGTGATGTGGTACCTCAGAGTCATTTTGATTTGCATTTCTCTAATCAATAGTGATTTAGAGCATTTTTTCATATGACTATAGATAGCTTTAATTTTTTCAGCTGAAAACTTCCTGTTAATATCCTTTGACCATTTATCAGTTGGGGAATGACTTGTATTCTTATAAATTTGACTCAGTTCTCTATATATTTTGCAAATGAGGCCTTTATCAGAGACACTGGTTATAAAAATTGTTTCCCAGTTTTCTGCTTCCCTCCTAATCTTGGTTGCATTAGCTTTGTTTGTGCAAAATTTTTTAAATTTAATGTAATCAAAATTATCCATTTTGTATTTCAAAATGTTCTCTATCTCTTGTTTGGTCATAAATTCTTCCATGCTCCAAAAATCTAACAGGTAAACTATTCCTTGCTCTTCTAGTTTGCTTACAGTATCAGCTTTTATATCTAAAGCATGTACCCATTTTGACTTTATTTTGGTATACAGTTTAAGATGTTGGTCTATGCTCAGTTTCTGCCATACTATTTTTTAGTTTTCCCAGCAGTTCTTGTCAAATAGTGAATTCTTATCCCAGAAGCTGGGGTCTTTGGGTTTATCAAACAGGGATTACTATAGTCATTGACTACTGTGTCTTATGTACCTAACCTATTCCACTGATCACCACTCTATTTCTTAACCAGTACCAAGTAGTTTTGATGAATGTTGCTTTATAATACAATTTAAGATCTGGTATGGCTAGCATTTTTTTTTCATTAATTCATTTGATATTCTTGACCGTTTGTTCTCTCACATGAATTTTGTTTTTATTTTTTCTGGCTCTATAGAATAATTTTTGGAAGTTTGATTGGTATGGCGCTGAATAAGTAAATTAATTTAGGTAGAATCACTATTTTTACTATATTAGCTCGGTCTACCCATGAGCAACTGATGTTTTTCCAATTATTTAGATCTGACTTTATTTGTGTGAAAAGTGTTTTGTAATTGTGTTTATATAGTTCCTGGGTTTGTTTTGGCAGGCAGACTCCCAAATATTTTATAATGTCTACAGTAACTTTAAATGGAATTTCTCTATCTCTTCCTTTTGGGCTTTTTTAGTTGTATATAGAAATGCCGATGATTTATGTGGTTTTATTTTCTATCCTGCAAATTTGCTAAAGTTGTTTATTATTTCAAGTAGTTTTTTATTGGATTCTCTAGGATTCTCTAAGTACATCATCATATTATCTGCAAAAAGTGATAGCTTTGTTTCTTCTTTGTCTATTCTAATTCCTTAAATTTCTTTTTCTTCTCTTATTGCTAAAGCTAACATTTCTAGTACCATATTAAATAACAGCGATGATAATGGACATCTTTGTTTCGCCCCTGATCTTACTGGAAATGTTTCTAGCTTATCCCCATTACATATAATGCTTGCTGATGGTTTTAGGTAGATGCTACTTATCATTTTAAGGAAGATTCTGTTTATTTCTATGCTCTCTAATGTTTTCAAATAGGAATGAGTGTTGTATTTTGTCAAAAGCTTTTTCTGCATCTATTGAGATAATCATATAGTTTCTGTTAGTTTTGTTGTTGATATGGTTAATAATGTTGATAGTTTTCCTAATATTGAACCAGCCCTGCATTCCTGGTATAAATCCCACCTGGTCATAGTGTATTATTCTTATGATAAATTGCTGCAATCTTTCTGTTAACGTTTTACTTAAAATTTTTGCATCTATATTCATTAGGGAAATTGGCCTATAATTTTCTTTCTCTGTTTTGACTCTTTCCGGTTTAGGTCTCAGTACCATATTTGTAGCATAAAAAGAATTTGGTAGAACTCTTTCTTTGCCTATTTTCCCAAATAGTCTATATAATATTGAAATGAATTGATCTTTAAATATTTGATAGAATTCGCTTGCAAATCCATCTGGTCCTGGAGATTTTTTCCTAGAAGTTCATTTATGGTTTGTTCAATTTCTTTTTCTGAAATGTGGTTATTTAAATATTTTTTTCCTCTTCTGTTAATCTGGGCAATTTATATTTTGTAAATACTCATCCATTTCACCAAGATTGTCAAATTTATTGGCATACACAACATTCTCTTAATATAGCAAACACCTAAAGGAGTTTGTTGGCTTCTTGAGGAACTATGCCCTATCTTCCCACACTATTTCCTAGCATAGTCTTCTATACAATTAAAAAAAACTGCTTCCTTGTAAGAAAAAGGAAAGGACGTATTTGTACAAAAATATTTAAAAGCTCTTTTTCTGGTAACAAAGAATTGGAAATTGAGGGGATGCCCATTAACTGGAGAATGGCTGAACAAGTTGTGGTACATGATTGTGATGGAATACTATTGTGTAGAAGAAATAATAAGTAGAAAAATCTGGGGAGATTTATAAAAGCTGATGCAAAGTGAAGTGAGCAGAACCAGGAGAACACGGCACACAATAGCAGCAATATTGTAAGGATGTAACTGTGAAAAACTTAGCTATTCTGATCAAGACAACAATCCAATACAATTCCATGCTGAAAAATGCTTTCTACTTCCAGAGAGAGAACTGAGGAGCTCTGAGTGCATACTTTGAAGCATACTTTCAAAATTTATTTTTCTTTTTTTGTTGTGTGTTTTCTTTTGTAACGTGGCTAATATGGAAATACGTTTTGCATGATTTCACATGTATAATTGAAAGGGTGGGAGGGAATTTGGAACTCAAAATTTTTAAAAGTGAATGTTACAAGTATCTTACATCTAATGAGAAATAGTTAGTAAAATAAATAAACATATATTTAAAAAACAAATAAAAAATGCTTGCTTGTTGACTAAATGAATGAATGAACTTAGAGCTCTGAAACCACATTTCTTCAGGATAACTTCATAAACATCAGGTACTTCATGGTTAGGGTGTTGATAAAGATGGAAACCCTAGCTGGACATAGAGATAAAACCACATACTTACATATATGAAACATACACATATACGTCATCTGCTCTTAGGGTAGTCTAAACATGAGTGTTTAAGGACTATGAAACTTTGGACTGAGGTAACTGGATATGTGTTTTTGAGGGACTTAACCCCTAGCACTCTGATATGTGACAGACACGCAATAATAATAGTCTCAGAGGACAATAACTCAAAACAGCTGGTCAAGTTTTACCCTTTCTCCCTCATAATTTGAAGCACCTCAGTATTGACCTAACATTTAGAGTTATTGTCAATTAAGTCAGCAATTGTCAGTTATTTCATCAATCATTTAATAATTATTTATTATGACACATCACAATAATATATTTATTAGAATTAATTATTATATTAAATATGATGACATCTGTATTAATTATTAAACGCCTGCTTTGTGCTAAGCACTGGGAATACAAGTTGTGCCATGACACTATTGTTACTGCTCATCTGGCACATATCACAGTGCAAGGGGTCGAGTCCCTCAACCTTGACTTGCTTTTAATTAAGTATCTTTTTTGGGTGGGGGGAGGGATCTGCAGGAGGAGAAAGGCTCTACATACCCTATTGAAGCCTGCATGGAGAAGAGGAAGGACTGATGTTTCTTCACGTTCACCCGATCTGCAGCAAAGCAGAAAATGTGGTCACTCAGCAGATACAAACCAGGATTCCTCACACTGAAACATGGAAAGAGAGCAATGAGGCAAACATATATTTAGCTCCAACAATGGCCCAAACGGAAGGCTCCTTTCTAATTTATCATGTTAGTCAGTGGCATCTGTTGATAGGTGTGGACAAACTGCATATGCAGCTTGTTCCTATGAGTGAAGAGTCCCTGATGCTTCATGCTTTGCATTACCTTTTCAGATGTAAAAATAAATAAATAAAAAACAAGAAAGTGAAAAAAAAAGTCCACATAAACCAAAAATCATCATAAGGTTAATCATAAGATTTAGAGCTAGAAAAGACTTAAGCAATCTAATCCAACCTCCTCCTCATTTTGCCAATTGGGAAACTGAGGCCCAGAGAGAAGGACTTTCCCAATATCACACAGGTAGTAAGGAAGGGAGTTGGGCTATAATCCAAGTCCTCTGATTAAATAACTTTGAAGGTTCTTTCAAGCTCTAATGCTAGGATCCCACATTTCAAATCCAGTGCTCATTACATTCTTCAGTGGTTGTCTCAAAGGGGTTACACTACCAGTGAGCAGCTATTTGGAGCTATGCGGTTCTGATTTATCTCTTGCAAATGCCACAGATCCGGAACACCAGGAGTGATCCCTTCACCTCAGTGGGCCTCAGTTTTCTCATTTGTAAAATCAGTGGTTTAGACTAGATTATTTCTAAGGCCTTTTGTAGCTCTAAGGTACGATGGCATGCTGGTATATGCCGCAAGAGGTGAAGGAGGTAGGCCTATTCTCATTCATAGGGTCTGTAGTTAACACTACATGCTGATAAACAGCTGTCTGGGAATCTCTCACCTCCCTTTTCCCCTGCAAACTCTCATGAACATTGGGGCAGCAACTGAAGAGTTTGTATTTTACAGATGGCGCAACCCAAAAGCTAACCATGGAAAAAGGTGACTTGTGAATTTAGGCCCATCAAATGAATACCTTTAGAAGGGAAAGGCAAGAAAGAAAAAAAAAGATTAGAGTTCCTAAGGCAGGAACAGTTTTCAGTAGAGTGTGTCCCTAGACTCAAACTACATTAAAGACCCTGCAAACATCTGCTAATGAAGGCTGGCCTTGCAACCAATGTTTGATGAAGGACAATGCCAGCAGCTACATCTCATCACCAGTCTTGACCCAAGGCGGTAGGGCTGTCTCTATTAAGAGAGAAAGAAAGGATATTACAGAGACATCCTGTTTCAAGGGGGTAAAAAAAACCACCACTAGAATATACCATTGAAAGGAAACTAAATAAAACTGAATAAAGGGATAAAGAGATGAAAATCTAAAAGAACAGTTCCATTGCCTGATATTTTACTCGATATTAAAACTTTATCTGTTACAGGGTACCCAAAAATCTTTGTGAGGCTCAAAATTGAACTAAGACTTTTGGGTCACCCTGTATTTGTAATGGGACCTGTACCTAATTCAAGGCCTAAATGGAAACATTTAATCTTCTTTTTCTGCCTGCAATACAGGAGAGTATTCCTCCCTTGAATAAGACATCAGTCTTGGAAACAACCATTTGCTCAGGACTAGGACTAATTTATGCCAGGCAAGTGAAAAAGAATATATGTTTCATTGGTTTTGTTGCTAAGGTTACTTCTAATGCCAAATCAGTTTCAGGGGAAGGTGGAAGGGATGGGTGGAAATAACCAGTTTAGAAAAGAAGGTGTGTGGACTAGGGAAAGTTTTTGTCTTTACTTTTAAGACATTAACATACTGTCAACAAGATCTCCAGAGGAGAAAATCTGAGAAAAGGATTAGAAAGAAGATACCTTAGGCTGCCACCACTCATTACCACCACCACCACCAAAAAAAAATTTAGGGATTCTATTAACCAACAGTGTTCAAGGGGCCATGAAGGATGGTGGCACAAGAAGAACAACTTTTTATTCATTTCTATAGTAAAAAGCAATGTTGTGTTAAGTTGGGAAGAGAAGCTGTGGGGGAAAGGAATTCAGGGTATAGCAGACAAAGGTATCTTGGTGGAAGGATAATTTTATGACTAGGACTCCACATTCTACCAGTCCAGCTTTGACTAAAATGCCATAAGATCCTGGGATTGTCATGTTGGAAAAAGACCTTAGAGATCATTTAGTCAAACTGTCTCATTTAAGAGATAAGAAAACTAAGGTCTAAAATATCTAAGTGACTTGCCCAAAGTCACAAAGTGAGTAAGTGGGAAAAGCAGAATTCAAATTCAAGTCTTGGGAATCCAAATACAGGGCTTTTTACATGACATCATGCTCTCTCCCCACATGCACATGACAAAGGTCAGTCTTTCCTAGGGCTCTCCACAACACAAGAGGAATCTCACCCATCTTGACCTACCTCTTAGCCTGTAAAGTCCTTGATGGCAGAAGCAGTGACCATCACAATAATATGTTCAGTTTCCAACAGGCCTTGGACCCTCATTGATCCTTTACTTTTATCATAATAACAGCCCATGGCCACAACAGGGAGAAAATAGGATCTCTGTTGTATCAGAACTCTCAGTGACCCCAGTGTCTCTAAACTGATGGGGCTAACTTCAAATGGTGACACATGTGAAGTTCAAATTATCTTTCTTTGTTTAAATAATTGCTTGTAAATCAGTTTACTGGTCACTTAGTAGAGAAAACCCAACTGACTAGGAATGTTTTCCAAACTCCTTTAGTCATCTAGTGGTCTCCCTTCCTTTTCTTTGCAAATCAAGACCTCAGTTCCTTGTTCTAATTCTGCCACTAACTAGCTGTATTACTTTGGGTAAGCCACTTGACCTCTCTGTTCCCGACTTCTTCATTTATAAACCAAAGGGACTGGACATGATGATTGCTGAGGTTCTGCCTCACTCTAATATCCTATGAATCTGTCCCTTCTCCTTGTGTTTCTTGTTTTAAGGGTCTAGGCAGAAGCTAGGCAATCCTCTTTTCTTACCAATGAATACAGAGTATTGTTTTCATGCTACACTTTGTTTCTTCTTAAGTGGAAAAGCCAAGCATTTTCCATTTATTTTTTTAAAAAATAAGAAAGAATAATTTGGAATAAAATTCTCTCCAAAGTTCCTCCCTGGTTTTGTATTCATTCCTAACATATGATGACCCTTCAACTCCCTGGGGTTTTTAAAAAAAAAAAGATCACATAATGGTATCATTAACTACTGCTAAAATCAATTAGACAAGATAAAGGTTTGAAATCTACAAAGCAAAAATTAAAAAAAAGTCCTTCCAGAAATTTGCACAATAAATGACAACCCAAACTCCTAGCTTTCTTAGTAGGCTTGCGCAAAGCCCAAGGAAATCCCTATTGTTTTGCTGGATTTTGAATTGGAGACACATAAAACAAATGTCTCAAAATGAAAAGCAAGTACCTTCCATCTGGGGGAAATAATATAAAAGAACTTACATATGTGAAACAACTGCAAGTATAACCGTGTGTTCTGATGGATTCGTAGCTCGGATTGATCTGAAACGAGAAGATGCAAAGTCCAACAACATTCATTGTCTTTGCTTTGCCAAGCTAGTGCCATATGGCATTTCTTAGCACTTGAAATAGCACAAAGTCATTTAGTCAACAAATGAGTTTCCATACAGGATGGTGTGAAGAGCTGTGGGGAGCAGCAAAGTAAGATGCGCTTGTATCTTGGAGCAAAAACTCACTTTGCTGTTGTTTTTTACTCAATTCAGAGGGACTCAATGCATTTTCCCGGCAATTTTCCAGTAGATCAGAGCTGCCAATTTTCCACTTCAAAACTTGGCAAATTCCATTGCAATTCCATGTTTTCTGGTTCAATTTCCATTTTTGTGGGAAAAAATTGGCAACCCCACAATCCTCCAGTTATTTGTATGTTATTGGGGATTTTATCATGTTGGAGCCTTTTCTTTTTAAGATAGTAGTCCAGAAATATAACTTTAAAATAAAAATTAAGATGTTCTTTAGCCTAGAGATACAAAATGCAGTTCTAATCCTTTTTACAATAAACTCCAAGTACTCATTTCAAAGCTTTTGTTGCAGTGGATTCAGTGAATAACAAAAGCTGCTTGGGATATTTCTGAAATAAAAATCTGCAGATCCCCCCACAAAAAAATCTGCCCTATATAAATAGGGATAAGGACAAGAACTGTACTTGTGATTTCAGTGACTTAGGGATCACAAAGGATCATGAACTTAGATATGGAAGGGACCTTAGAAGTCAATGAGTTTGAATCTCCTCATTTTACAGATGAAGAATCTAAGACTGAAAGAGACTAAGTCCTTGCCCAGGGTCACACAGCTGATATATGTCTGAGGCAGTATTTAAGTTCAGGTCTTCTGGACTACAAGCCAAATGCTCATATGAAGTCTATTCATCTTCCTAGGAGCTAATCTAATATTCTATTTTTCGTCCTTTCTATCTAAGATTACTTTTGTCTGCTTTGTATATGTTTTGCATATAACTACATATGTACATGTTGTCTCCCCTTATAGAACCTAAGCTCTTTGAGGGCAGAGATTATTTTCCTTTTGTCTTACTATCCTTAACACATGCCTAGTACATAGTAAGTATTCAATATATATCTGTTGATTGATTGATTGTGCAGTCTATGAGTTAGTGATTTAGAAGGCTAGATCTTGAATCTAGCCCAGATCTAGTTGTTTCTACCTATTATAATATATTTTGGTTGGTTGCTGTTCTTCATTTTAAAAGACGACTGAAGTGACAACATTACGTTATGGTGGTACAGTACATCTGACAGTAGCTGATCAGAACAATACGAGCTCAGAATGCTCTACCACAGGTTGGGCACAAATAATCCATGTGAATATTTGGAGCTGAGATGGCTCTAAATTTGCACATATCATATTTCTTTTGAGCTGCTGCAATTCTGCTTCACTCAGAGCACAGCATGCCATGCTGGGCAGTGCTGTGCCAGTGTCTCCTATGTCACACAATCAATTGTGGTTACTAGTTGTTTTTGAGAACACTCAGGTGTCTCATCCACTTGCTTTTGGTGACAATTTAATGATGCATACTTCCTAGATCAGAGCTAAGAAAGTCTGATCTATAGGATGAGCTGAACTTCAAGGCTGATCCTGGGTAAAAATTTTTAGTTGGAAAGGTTTGCCTTTGGCTCTTTTGGTTCTCCTCTCTACCTCAGTTGCCATTTTGGTTTCTTCCCTCTCAGGGCTCTACTGTTACCACAAGTAATAAAGTTGGGACAGGGAGCTATTGGAGCAAGAAGGCAGCAGATGGTGATCTCCTCTCTGCCATGCTCTGTTAGCACACAAAAAATTAGCAGAAAAAGAGAAGAGCTCTTGGTTAGTGTTTCTAAAGAATGGTTCTACTGTTGGTATAGATTGTTTTAACATAGAGAGCTGGTAAGATCTCAGGATGGCAGAATGATGTTACTGTAGGGATCTGATGTTACTGTTTAGTTTTCCCTGTATATCTCTGTCAGTATTCTCCTGTACTGTACTGTACTGTAGAGATACTGTGTATCTCTACTGATATTCCCCTGTGTCCTATGCGCAAAGCCAGGCTACAAGCTACCTAAGATCTTGGACACAAAGACTGTCAAAAGGTTTAGTGGTAAGAATATGAGTTGCAGGATCAGTGACAGCTGTAACTTTCACAACTCATATCTTTTTCCTTACTCTCTTAGATAGCCAATTCTGAGAGCCCAGAGACATTTGCTCTCACTGGAAAGCTCCAGATTCCAAATTAAACATTTCTTTTCACTCAGGAAATCTTACCTATACCATATTCCATTTTCTTGGGACCCTGCTCTTGCTTGCAAAGGTTGGGAGTAGGGAGGGTATGCAAGGCATGGGGAGAAGGAGTAGCTGGATAGTCTAAAAATCTCAGTTAGTGCATTGTCCAGTCATGGCTGACTCCTTATGACCAACACCATTTGGGTTTGTTTGTTTGTTTATTTTTGGCGAAGATACTGGAGCGGTTTGCCATTTCCTTCTCCAGCTCATTTTACAGATGAGGAAACTGAGGGAAACAGGGTTAAGTGACTTGCCCAGGGTCACAAAGCTAGTAAGTATCTGAGGCCAGACTTGAACTCATGAAGATGAATCAACCTAATTCCAAGCCCAATATTCTATCCACCATGCCATCAGCTGCCCACTGTGTTAGTAAGTACTAATGGGTAAAGAATGCATTAAATGGAGGACAATACCTTACTCAAATGTATTACTCTAATGGTGGAAATTCTAGGAACCTATCATGGGCCAATGGAGAAGAACTTTGAGGGGGGAAGGGTAGGTAAGGGTCTTGTGTTATCTCTCAACACCATCTAAGAAACTTCTTATTCAACCTCCCTGTGAATCTGACCCTACTTAGGTGTATTTACTTATCTGTCTACGTTGAGCACGTTTAGATATTTCATAGTAATAAGATGAAATCTCTCCTAATGAGAGAATTCATCAGCAAACATTCTAGTGAAACATGCACCCCACTATCTTGCCCATAGCCTAAAGTAAACATTTGAAAATTCTGAGTTTTATAGTTTCTTTCTCTTCCTCAATTCTACTAATATAGACTCATCTTTCTTATACGACAATGTCTTCTTTCCTGACATTCAAGGAACACAAAACCTGTCTGTAAAATAAAGCCCTTGCTCCAATAGTCTGATCACTTCCTATTCATTTTCATGACTGCTGGAATTTTTACCATTTAACTATGGACTGAAGTTAAAAAAAAATACCTTTATAAATCCATGTGATAATGAAGGTAATGAGGATTAGAAAAAATTATTATGTTTAGTTGAAAGTATGTCCATGCTACTTTCTGAAACTTGAAAAAGTTGAGATTGAATTGAATTGAGATTGAAAAGAATTTCACCCAAATAATGTAAAGATACATTCCTAAGTACACAGGATATTGGATTAAGGGAAAAAATTAATCATGTTATTTGAAATATTTTTTCCAGCTTGCTTTATAAAAGGTCCTTATCTGAGAGTCAGGAGGCTCAAACAAAGGAACAAAGAGGCACAATTTTGTAGTGACTTTTCTTCATTTGTGAATTCTTCATTGTGGTACTGAAAGACCCCAACATAATTTTCCTGCCTTTAACTTTACTTGCTTAATTCTGTTAAAATTTCTGGCAGCAGATTTGAGCCCTGAGATAGAGCTGATGCTGGTCTCTGATTTTATTAGTGAATTGTTCACATCTATCTGTCATCTATCCCACTTCCAGATTGAATTATTATTCCTCCTTGGCACCTACTTATAAACATGAATAACTTTTTTTCATCGAGTTCAAAAACTTGTGAAAATAGGAAAGTAGAACCCTCGAGTACCTGGAAGATGAGAAGTAGGACTGGTTTTGCTAATTTAGTAATAAACCTGCTCTATGATGGAACTCATCTATAGCAGGCAAGGAGAAATGGACATTTCTAACTGTTCCAATCTTTTTTTATCTTTATTTTACTTTATTGGTGAGGTAGCAATGAAGACTGAAATATCTAATTTGAATCTTTTTTTTTCAGCCAAAGACAAGGTTTATTAATGATCCACCATATTAGCCAGACTCTTGAGTAATCTGAGAGTCTGTGAAGTATTGGCTAGATTCTAAGAATCAGAGCAGTGGCTAGATTTTAAGAATCTAAGCCTCTAATTTGAATCTTAACCCTACCCAAAGAATAAGAGTATTGTAGATGTTAATACCTTCCCTGAAATGACTCTGTGGAGTCAAAGTACTCTGGGGCAGTAGGGTCAAACTCAGATAGAAATGGGGCCACTACACTGTACATAAGGATCTTTGCATACTGACTTAGAAAACCACATAGAAACATTATCTATGTTCTATTGTATTTTTATTTGTTTTGTAAAATATCTTCTGTTAACATTTAATCTGGTTCAGCTACATTATACTCAGCGTGACAGTCGGTCATGATTTGGAACCTGCCATTTCACCGTTATTGAAATTTTAGAAGTGGACCATAATTATAGCAAAATTGTAAGAGTCACTGTAGGTATTCTAATGGGAATCTCTCATAATACCAACAAACTATTTGGGAATATTTTTGGATGAATCTAACTAAAGTATAAGAAGAATCATATGAAGCTGTTAAGGGCTCACATTCATCAGGTACATGAAACTGACAAATTACCTGCAGACGGCTTCTGCATCAAAGTGTTGGTCTTGTCTGTGGTCGATTACAATGATTTCATGGTGCTTATCTAAAAAGCACTCAATGGCAGATTCTGGAGTTCGGGCAATATTACATCTGTAGCCAGCTCTATCACAGGCCCACCAGAATCCATCACTTTGACTGTCTTCCTTTGCAAAAATCAGCAAAACCTGAAATATAAGGAAAATGTTATTCCCAGAGCAAATGTACAAGATGATTATTCTTAGAGCAGGCTTTAAAAACACAGACTCAAGTATTTTAAAACATTTTTCATAATTAGTTTTGTTTGAGAAGAAATTAAAATGCCAAATTGACAAAAAAACTTTTCTGTGTGCATCTGCTATCATTTTCGTATATTAAACGACATACTTCCAATTCTGCCTCTCATTCTTCATATGCAAAACTATATAAGGAATAGATGTAGTATTGGGATTCCTCACATGTTCAATTCCCAAATGCATCTTATGTGTTAAAAAGGCTAGCCACTGATACAAAATTAAGTAAGTAGATTTAGAAACAAGCTTTGACATTTTCATTGTTCCTTTTTCTGTTTTTATAAAATTTGATATTCAGAAGCCCCAGCAATTTATTTCACACATTAAAACCTCATCACACACAAATCATGTCTTGGTTGTATCTGCTGGGGGTTGGGAGTGAGTGGTGGGCAGAAGAACGATAGGGATAGAAATCAAGGTAAAAAAATATCTTAGCTAATAGTAGGCCATTTATACAGTAAAACCACATTTGAAAAAAAGTCCCCCTCCTCATCAGTTCTGAACTATTTGTATTTCAATATCAGGATGTATGTTTCAAGTAGTTATAAGAACAGAATGCCTGTGGGAGTTGCTTTGAAACTTGCAAAGACTATTATGTAACAAGTTGATACTGAAAAGTTGTATGCTAGTTGACAGATGGGTGGAATAGAGGCAGAGTCTTAAACCTGAGACAAAGTGGGTGGATCTGGGAAATCTTCTAAGCTGGGATTCTGATCATTTGTAGGGATACTGAAGATGAAGTAAGGGGTAGGAAGTGTGAAGACAGTGGAGACAATGCCCACTAACAGAAATGGGAAATGGATTCATGGAGGAACTTTGCACTGATGCCATTCACCAAAGGACAAAAGCAGACAACATGAGTTAGAAGTCAGGATTGGTTGCAGGGAGACATCCAAGCCCCCTACAGTAACTCAGATAGGCAAAAGACAGAAAGGAACATCCTGTAGGTATTAACGTAAGCTCTTTGATGGCAGAGACTGTCTCACTTTGGTATTTTTATCCCCAGAGTTTGGCAAAGTGCATGGCACATGGTTGGTACTTAATGTTTGTTAATTGCCTGTTATTAAGGGAAGGTACAAGGCCTATATTTGGAGCAAGGTGGTAGGAGATCACAGACACAACAGGATTTTTTCAAAGTCCTCTGGCTTTAAGGATATCAGGTCACTGTAAGGCATTAATAAACTTTAAACCTTAAGCTGCTAACATTAAGCTGCGTGCAGTTTGTTACAGGGCTTAGGATACACACCAGTGGCATCCTGAACCTTCCTCTGGTTTCCTAAACCAAGGTTTCCCAGTGGTCATGAGCATAGTCTTAAAGGTTCAGATTCATTCACTCAAAGCAGTCACTGTGCAAACCACCTGATCCCGATTTAGCTGGCAAATGGGCAAGAAAACACTCTTTTTATGCAAGAGAAAACAGATGAAGAAGGCTATTGCCTTCTTCTTCCAAGACACTCTGACCGTGACAAAATCTGAAAATATTGGATGCAAAGGTTCTGGAGAATGAGAATAATTTACAGATAAAATAAAAATCAACAAAACTTCAGCTACACACATAGTTTTCATAATGGGGTTTGAGAACTGACCAGCATTCTGGGATTCATAGCGCAGGACTGCACTATGATTTCTCAAGAGATGGGAGGGAAGGAAGGGAGAGGGAGATAACTTGGAACTCAAAATTTAAAAAGTGAAAGTTAAAAATTTTTTACATGTAATTGAGGAAAAGAAAAGAAAAAATGAAAAAAGGAATGAGAAGTCATGTTTCACTCTTATCTTCAACAGATTAGAAATAAACTCTATATCTGGACTGAAGCTAACCCACAGTCATCCTCTCCTGTGGTTCAGACAGTTCCAAAATCCCACCTCCTCCCCTCTCATTATCTCATTCTATCTACTACTCCCTAATGTACGTTACCTCTATTGATTGTTTATAACATATATTTTATTTTTTTGAGGGAGGTGGGCAGGAACTGACCTACAATTTCATTAAAATAGGGAACTCCCAGGTAAGGAAACTCCATCTCCCAATGCAGACAGGCACCTGCTCTGTAAATTCTAATCGCAGTGAGTTACCTGGGGAACTTGACAGTGACTTGCCCAGGGTCACACTGCTAGTATGTGTCAAAAGAAGGTCTTGAACCCAGGGCTTTCTTGACTTCAAGGCTGGCTCTCTGCCTACTATATCAGGCTTCCTCTTTAGGCTGCAACATGTACTATTCTATCAAGCTGTTGTTTCATTCATTAAGATTTACTAAAAATTCTTGGCTGCAACATCCTTATACTTGCTTGGCATATTCTGTCTGCCCCAGGTGGTGAGCTCTATAAATTAAGTACCAACTTCTATACTTAGAAATGCATCATATATTCACTATATTAGACTTAGGTACTTTAAACATTTTTATAGAAAAGAGAACTAAGGCATGGAAAGGGTAAGGAAGTTGAGGCAGCTTGATGGAGTGGGTAGGACCCTAGACTTGGAGTCAGGAAGATTTCAGTTCAGATTCCACTTCAGATGCCAACTAGCAGTGCAACTCTGGGAAAGTCACAAAAATCTCTCTGTACCTCAGTTTCCTCATCTGTAAAATAAGAGGGCTGACTGGAAAGACTTAAATGAACTGATGCTTAGTGAAGTGAGCAGAACCAGGAGAACAATGTACACAGTAACAGCAATATTGTACAATGACCTACTTTGACAGACTTAGCTCTCCTCAGCAATACAATGATCTAAGACAATTCCAAAAGATTCATGATGGAAAATGCTACACACATCCAGAAAAAGAACTATGGAGTCTGATTGCAGATTGAAGCATACTACTTTCTCTTTTTTGTTCTTTTTGTTTTTTCTTTCTCATGGCTTTTCCTCTTCTTCTGATTCTTCTTTCACAACATGACCAATGTGGAAATATGTTTAATATGATTGTACATGCACAGTCTATATCAGACTGCATGTCATATTGGGGAGGGGTAGGAATTTGGAACTCAAAATCTTATAAAAATTAATACTGAAAACTAAAACTAAATGAATGAAGAAATAAATAAATTAATTAATATTGAGAGGGTTGAACTCTATGGTCTCCCAGATCCATGTGAGGCTAAATTTGTGATCCCATGAGCCTATGTCCAAAACCAGCAAGTTAGAGAGTTAGGCTACACCAAGGGTAGGGAACCTGTGGCCTCAAGGCCATGTGGGGCCCTCTAGGTCCTCAAGTGAGGCCCTTTGACAGAAGCCAAACTTCACAGAACAAATTGAAGTTTAGCTTCAGTCAAAGGGTTGCACTTGAGGACCTAGAGGGCCCCATGTGGCCTCGAGGCCTCAGGTTCCCCATCCCTGGACCAGACCCCTGGTCTCTTACTTCTCAACCTAGTACAGATGCTTGTCTTTCACTCTACCTCAGGCAGAAAACTGTCAGGAACCCCATCATGCCCCAGAGAAATATTCCCGAGGATACAGAAACAGAAATGCTCAGCTGGGAATTACATAGTGGCTTTAGACTGTGTCATAGTGGATAGTGGTTGAGATCTAGCCTATGGACCAGAAAGACCTGGGTTTTAGTCCTGTCTCTGACACATACCAACTGTGTGATACACCCTAGACAAGTCACTTACCCTCTTGATGTTTTAGGCAACTGTGTAAGACTGTGAGCTGTGGAAAAAGTTTCCATCTGCAGTGGGAGTTTCCTCACTTGGGATTTTTATGCGAAGGAAATCATAGATCCAGTTCCTATTCCCTATCTACCTGTAAACGTAAAGCAATCTAGATAATTTGAAATTAGGAGACACCATTTTGGATAATTTCTCAACTAGGAAAATTAGAAGGACGGAAGAAAGGAAAGAAGGAAACAAGCATTTATTAAACACCTACTATATACCAGACACTGTGCTAAGTGCTTTACAAATATTAACTCATTTGATACTCACAACAACTCTGGGTGGTAAGTCCCATTATTATCCTTATTTTATAAATGAGGAAACTGAAGCAAACTATAACCTTTAATTGCTTACTTGTTATATGGCTTAAAATTTTACCCCAATAACACAGCCTGGTGGCCATGAGCCGGCCTCAACTACTGAGGGATCAGGGTAAAGAATATCACACAAAGAATGAACCTCTCTTCCCTACTGTTTGCCTGTATTTAAATGGTCATCATTTTTGACTGTGTCAGAGGAGGCAAGTGATAAAAAGGGGCCTGACTGCAAATGAATACCTTTAAAGAAATGAAAAGAAAGAGTTTGCAGATGCCAAGTATTCAAACAATTAGGAAGGTGGCCACAATGCCAAATCGGATTAAATGTTTTTTCAATGAGAAAAGTCAACAGTCTGCTACTCTCTGTAGCCATGGTATTACCACAAGAAATTTAACACACAGGGCCAAGTAGTAAAACAAGGTGATACCACTTTTGTCCTGCCTAAGACAAGATGAATTGTTGAACTTCAAACAATAATTTCAATGATTAATGGTTCCATGGCATCATTGAAACCTACTATTCGTCTAATCCATGCTAACCTATTCAGAGAGTCACATTCAGTTTTATATTGATAACTGTAACAAATAATAATGCTCTCATTTGCCTTACAAAGTCTCTTTTAAATACAGTTGGACTCCACTTTAAGGAAACAAAAGAAAAATATGAATCTACGAAGTAGATGAATTAAAGAGTAAATTATTTACATTATAAATAATTCACCAAAATGATTCTTTAGGTAACATTTATAGGGGTTTTTTTAAATGTCCATTTTACAAAAATGGTAAATACAACTGTCCAAAATTATATGAATATACAACATATACATCTCTATATATATATATACCTATACATATGGGGGGGGGGAGAAAGAGAGACAGAGACAGAGAAAGAAAGTAGTATGTCCTAGTAGACAGAGACCCAGTCTCAGG